ATTTCTCATTTCCATCATTTAACAATATAAAAAAAGCAGAAGCGAGGGAGTCATACATATCGATATACACATTCATACTTTTAATAATAAATTAAAAGTATTAAAGGTAAATAGGTAAGTAAAAGTCATGCATGTAATCAGAGTGTGAGGTCTGGGCCAGGTATATGCAGTTAGGGTTCTATAAAGGGTTTCCATGTTCTCAAAAAAGTCTCTTCTCTGTTGATTAACAGATGTGTATGTTGCTCCAGTCACAAAGTTTCATTAATAATATTTCTGAAAAGGTTAATTGTCGGGGGGCTTTGATGGTTCCAATTGAGCAAAATACATTTTTAGCTATATAAGAAATTATATATTAACTCCCGTGGCCGATATGGAGTCCAACTTCCTAGGTAAGTCGACGCAAAAAAAATAGTATAAGATTAGTGTCCAGTTGGAGTTTCAGGATCATGAACGTCAGATCATATACAGCAATCCATAAATGTTTTTGGTTTTTACATTCCCAGAAGACATGCATAAGATATCCAGTACATGTTTTACAACGATAGCATCGGGATGATAAATTAGGAAACATCTTACTCAAACGTACTGGGCTGAGGTAAGTCATTTATATATTCATTTATAATTCTGTTGTATTATTTTATTACAGGACAATGAAAGAAAGACATTTTGACAAATAGAGAACCACTGCTCATCACTAAGATCAATTCGCAAATCTTTTTGCCATGCAGCCTTAAATGGAGTTAAAGAGGAACCGTGATGGTCTAGCATAGCATTATAAATCAATTAAATTTCCCCTTTTAATACAGTGGGACTTTCCAAAATCTCCTCTGTACTTGTCAGCCCCATAGACAACTGGACTGTCCTTTCCAAAGAGACGATAAAGTGTTGTATTTGAATTTGTAAAAATCTTGTTTGGAAATTCCAAATTCTATTCTAATCAGAAAAGGATTTCAAACAAGTGCCATTAAACAATTTTTGGAAATTATGTATTCCATATCGTTTCCATCCAGTGAACGCAGGGATTTCCCAATAGAGGGTGACAAGTCGGGGTTAGAGGACAGAATAACAGAATAACATATTGCGAATAACATAAGTTCTAGTTACTGAGGTTAGTAAATATATTTTTTCTAAGTGGTAAAGAGGTCAATGGAGCAGGAGCATAAAGTTCTTCCTCAATAACTATGTCCAGTGAGCCGATCTACGTTTTTGTATCCAGCCTTTTACCTGGGCAGCCCAATAATAAAACTGGAGATCTGGGAGCCCTAATCTGCCTTTCTCTTCAGGTTTAGTTAACGTCTTGAGCGCTATTCTAGCTAAAACATTCTTCCATATAAAGGATTTAATTAATTTATTTAAAGATTTGAAGAAGGCACCGTCCAAATAACAAGGAAGAGACCGGAACAAATAGTTAAATCGAGGTAATATATTAATTGTAATCACGTTAATCCGTCCGAGAAAATAAATGGGAAGCAAGTTCCAGTGTTCAGGTTCTTCCTTGATCTTTTGGACTAGTGGTGCATAATTTATACGGAACAAGTCTTTAAGAGAGGGAGACACATTAACTCCTAGATACTTAAATCCACTCTGTGCCCAGGTGAAAGGAAATGTCTGACGATTATTTTTTAAAAATCGTCATTTATTCTCATGATCCTTATAACTATCGACCGACAAGAAAGGTTAACAGGATGCAAAAAGAAGGGGGAAAAGGCTCTGAATATACAGAGTTTATATGAGAAAATGTATCATCTATACCCGCTACCAATATGCCTATATATATGTAATATGATCGTTGATCAAGTAGCACAAATGTCAAAGTTTAGCCCGACATTCAAAGTAATTGTAGTGACTGATTTAACTTTTTAGCGAGGAGTGATCAGGACTTGAAAGGTAGGAGGGGGAATAGAGTTGGCAAAATAAAGTGGTATCGTTTTTAAACAAGTAACAGATTATAAAAACTTAAGTGAAAAAATACTATAGTATAACGTTTAAAATTGACAGAGTGATGAATCAGGGCGCTGCAGGGTGGGACAGGTAAGAAATCAAGGACTACAGCGCGTGACAAATGCGACTGGCATATAGATGTGCGCCTATACGAAATGGCTTTTCTCAGCAGCTGCATTCGCTTATAGCCATGCTGTAAGCTTTCTTTTCCCTTTTGCTTTACCCAGGGGGCGCCCATTCCCCTCACAAATGTAAACTGATCAGCCCAACCTTTCATATTACAAATTATTCTTAATAAGAAATCACCAACTTTTACACACATCTTATGCTCATTTATTATATGACTGGTGCAAAGCTCACCGCTTTCTACTCCATTTTAAAAACCATTGTAAATGATAGCCTATA